GTGTACTTGGTTCATCGAAAAACTGTCGCGAACTCATTTACCACTAGATTTAGAGGAAAAATCTAGGGGCAACTTTACAGGGGGTGTTCGTTCATCTACCAAAACTGTTGAAAACATACACGAAAAATTGTTATACTGAACCTCCAAATAATGTCAGAAAAATACATTCTCTTGTTCTCGTTAGAACCCGGTTAAATTCACCCAACTTCTTCTTTAAAAGATTTCATAACTCGCCTGGAAAATTGGACTTTCGCACTTCCGTTGGCCTCCGGCACTCTTGCTTTGTGCCCTGACCGAGTCTGCCTTCGTCCATGGGCCTTATTCTTACTGGTACTATTTTTAACCTGTTCACAGGAGCTATGGTCCAGAACATTCAGATCACTGGTGGTGACATGAGTTATACTCAATTCTTCAAACTGTAGAGCATGGAGTTTTCTCAAAATTTAGCAGTCCATGAACAGTACACTGTGTTTTCATGTATGTGTCTTCTTTAGCAAGTGTAAATTCAGCTGGTGGTTTCGCTAGCAAAACAATGTCAAAAAATACACCAGAAAGGATCTGACAAAGCAAACATCAACTACATTAAGCATTTGATACATTAACCCCCCTTGTAATTAGCAGGTCAAGAGTGTGCACCCCTGCTGGTGGGGTTGGGGACACCTCATTGTGCGAATGAAACCAAAGGTATCAAGTATGAAGCACAGCTCCTTTGCATTTCTGTCATCAACATTATCAACATGTTTCATTCAATATCACCTGTAATAACTAAAAACTATCAAAATCTGTGACCACGATGAAAGTAGTTCAGTAAAATGGTCATAATATTCGCAACCTGGACTGTGGTGGCCTGTACACGGATTTATGAAGACATTTTCATTCTTTCCTGGCAGCGTCACTGTGATTTGTCACAAGGGCCCACGGGATCTGCGCAGGACCTTCGGAAGGAGGCGAGGAAGATACAGGGACGACCCGTCCATGGTGGGCGAGTGCGGTGCTCCTCAGGTGGGAGGAGGTGATGTGGGAGAACGCCCTCACTCTGGTGCGAGTGAGTGAGGAGGTGATGCCTCAGACAAGCTGAATTGCTGGGGGATAACAACGCTCACAGCAGCAGTAAGACTGCACAGTGCCTGTTCGTCACCATGCCCCTGCTAGCAGTGAACCCCATCCTCCTGCTCAGACTCATGTCACCGCTGTTGAGGAGGCCTTAGTGTAGGTTGTGGGCAGCGGATCTTGGAAAAGCAGGTGCAGCAGCCTCCAGCAAATAAACCCCACACAAAGAAGTTGCCTGTCTTGTGGCAGCCAAATCCAATATGAGGGCTGATGGCAGCTACATCTCGTGTTTTACCAGCCGGTCTCTTCAGGTATTTCTACTGCTCCTCCAAGGTCTTTAACACCTATCGCACAGAGGGTTTGACCAAACTCCTGGATGCCATTCCGTGACTTTATGGACACTGAGTTCTGCCAGAGAGAGCTGGAGGCCAGCAGCAGAGAGTGAATGGCCTGGCAGGAGAGAAAAGGATGATTGATGAGTCTCCTCCTCCACTGGGGAGAAAGTGCTGGTTCTAGCAAACTGCAGCTGAAGCCAGGGACCACAGTCCTTCACAATTCATACACAATTCCTGGTCTGTCAGGAAAATACAATCTCTGCCCTGCCAAAGTATTTTCCCTGTACAAGGACCAGGGGATGGAGACGCAGATGTTCCAGCAGTCTCCTTTTTTATGGACCGGGAGGGGAAAGTTGGCAGTGTAAATAAATGAGCTATCTGTGTCTATTGGGTGCTGATTGTATATAGTTACTTATATTTATTCCTGTCTGTTCATAAATGTTTATAAATATTTTAATTATTATGTAAATTTTATACTTAATATTGGATTTATCTATATATAATTTCATTTGTAAATGTCTGCATCTACAGGTTCTTGTATTGTCAGCCTTCAGCCGTCACAGTCAACAAGGCTCATCACACAAATACAGTTTAAGAAGATAAAGATTGCATGTTGTTGTTTTTCTTTTAAGTGTATCTCTTAAATTTGTAAAAGTATAGTCTGTAGTATAGTCACTCAGATTCAGATTCAGTTTATTTGCCATTTGCAGTAAAAACACCACATTGGAATACATTAGCAAAAGTCTCCAGTGTGCACAGACAAATACAGACATAAAACAACATTAAAAGACAAAAATAAAACAAATAAAACAGTAAACAAAAGTCACTGTGAAATCGATCGACTAAAACGGTTTCAAAACAAGTGCAAATCATTAAAGTGCTCTGTTCACACTGATAACAGCTTGTGGATAAAAACTGTTAGTGTAACGAGATGTCCTGCATCTCAGAGAGCGATATCTTCTGCCAGAGGGAAGAAGCTGGAACATGGCTTTCCCAGGGTGGCCAGAAGAGTCATTGACAATCCTAAGAGCTTTGTTTAAAAGTCTGGATTTATAAAGAACCTCCAGAACAGGAAGCTCACAGCCCACGGTCCCCTCTCTGGTCTCTCTCTCTGGTTTCTCTCTCTGGTCTCTCTCTCTGGTCTCTCTCTCTGGTCTCTCTCTCTGGTCTCTCTCTCTGGTCTCTCTCTCTGGTCTCTCTCTCTGGTCTCCCTCTGGTCTCTCTCTGGTCTCTCTCTCTGGTCTCACAGCCCACAGTCCTCTTTGCAGGATCTGAGTGCTGCCTTTGACACTGTCGACCATGAGATCCTCTTACAGAGACTAGAGGACTGGGTCGGCCTAAGTTGGTTTAGGTCTTACCTTGAAGACAGGTGGTACTTTGTGGAGATTGGAAACTGTGTCTCAGATCATATGGCCCTGACCTGTGGAGTACCACAGGGGTCGATCCTGGGACCTCTTCTGTTCAATCTCTACATGCTGCCGTTAGGTCAGTTAATACGCAGAAACAAAGTGTCCTATCACAACTATGCAGACGACACTCAGATCTATGTCTCACTGACTGCAGGAGAACATGGACCAGTGGACTCACTCCTTCACTGTATCCAACAGATCAGTGAGTGGATGCAAAACAACTTCCTTCAGCTAAACGCAGACAAAACTGAAATGATTGTCTTTGGTCCCCAGAAGCAAAGAGAGCGTCATCTGTCATCTACAGTCTCTCTCCCTAAAACCTTCAAACAAGGTCAGAAATCTAGGGGTAATACTGGACTCAGACTTAAATTTTAATAGCCACATCAAATCAGTAACATCAGCAGCTTTTTACCATCTAAAAAACATTGCCAGGATCAAAAACATAGTGTCTAAAGCAGACCTGGAGATTCTTATCCATGCATTTGTCTCCAGTAGGTTAGACTACTGCAATGGCCTGCTCACAGGTCTGTCCAAACAGGCTGTAAAACAGCTGCAGTACATTCAAAATGCAGCAGCTCGAGTCCTGACTAGAACCAGGAAGTACGACCACATTAGTCCTGACTAGAACCAGGAAGTACGACCACATTAGTCCGGTCCTCAGGTCTCTGCACTGGCTTCCTGTGGCTCAGAGAATAGACTTTAAAACAGCTCTCCATGGCCTCGCACCAAAATATATTAGTGACATGTTAGTCCCATATGAACCAGCCCGGACTCTGAGGAGCACAGGGACTGGACTCCTATTAGTGCCCAGAGTCAGGACTAAACATGGGGAGGCCGCTTTTCAGAGTCATGCTGCTAGAATCTGGAACAGTCTTCCTGAAGATGTGAGACAGGCCTCCTCTCTGACAATGTTTAAAACCAGGTTAAAACAGTTCTGTTTAGCTGTGCATACAACTGAGGGATTTTATATTTTTATCTTTCTTTTTAATGTTCTGTGATTATTTATGATTTTAATGCTTTCTTGTTTTGTTCAGCACTTTGTGCTATACAAATAAACTTGCCTTACCATAGTCTGTAGTACAGTCTGTAGTCCCTGGTCTGGGCCCTGGTCTGGGCCCTGGTCCCGGCCCTGGTCCCACCCCTGGTCCCGGCCCTGGTCTGTGCCCTGGTCTGGGCCCTGGTCTGGGCCCTGGTCTGTGCCCTGGTCCCGGGCCTGGTCCCGGGCCTGGTCCCGGCCTTGGTCCCGGCCCTGGTCCCGGCCCTGGTCCCGGCCCTGGTCCCGGCCCTGGTCTCGGCCCTGGTCTCGGCCCTGGTCTAAACACAGACTGTGACCTTGGTCAGAAATAGTCAGAGTAAGAATAGCCGCGCTGCTAAGTGGTTCTGAGAAGAAGATCAAAGCAGATCAAAGAGGAGGTCACGGGGGAGACACGGGAGAGACACGGGAGAGACACGGGGGAGACACGGGAGAGACACGGGGGAGGCACGGGGGAGGCACGGGGGAGACACGGGAGAGACACGGGGGAGGCACGGGGGAGACACGGGAGAGACACGGGAGAGACACGGGAGAGACACGGGGGAGGCACGGGGGAGACACGGGAGAGACACGGGGGAGGCACGGGGGAGACACGGGAGAGACACGGGAGAGACACGGGAGAGACACGGGAGAGACACGGGGGAGGCACGGGGGAGGCACGGGGGAGACACGGGGGAGGCACGGGGGAGACACGGGGGAGACACGGGGGAGACACGGGGGAGACACGGGGGAGGCACGTGGGAGACACGGGGGAGACACGGGGGAGGCACGTGGGAGACACGGGAGAGACACGGGAGAGACACGGGGGAGACACGGGGGAGACACGGGAGAGACACGGGGGAGACACGGGGGAGACACGGGGGACACATGGAAGAGACACGGAAGAGACACGGATACACTCTCATATTTGTGTGACATCACCATTTTGGGCTTAAATCTGTGGTTCTCTATGATCCAGTGTTTATACTGTGGTGATGTCACACTGTGGTGTCACAATTTAGGGTTGTCACATGGTCCCCGAGTGGCTGATACCTCTGGTCTCCCATGGTCCCTGAGTGGCTGGTACCTCGGGTCTCACATGGTCCCTGAGTGGCTGATACAGTACCTCTGGTCTCACATGGTCCCTGAGTGGCTGGTACCTCTGGTCTCACATGGTCCCCGAGTGGCTGGTACCTCTGAGATGACATGGTTCTTGTAGTCCCGGAGCCTCCGCGCCTCCTCCTGCTCCTGCCCATTCAGGGAGGCGGGGTTAGGGGCATGTCCTCGACTCCTCGACTCCATCAGCTTCGTCACCAACTGCCACAGGCGAGACTGCCACCTCAGCACCCCAGCAAGGGTGTCAGCTGGGGGAGAGAGGGGGGAGAGGGGGGGAGAAGAGAGGGGGGAGAGAAGGGGAGAGAGGGGGAGAGAGGGGGAGAGAGGGAGAGGGGGCAAGAGGGGGAGAGAGTGGGTTAGGACTCTGGTCCTGGACCATCCTGACCAGCAGAACCCTCAGCCTCCCCCTGAAAGCCACCTCCTTAGAGCCTCCTCCTGGCTCTCCTCTCTCCTCCCTCTTTCTCCTCTCTCCTCTATTCTCTCTCTCTCCTCTTTCTCCTCTCTCTCCTCCTGACAGCTTCCTCCTTAGAGCCTCCTCCTCACCTCTGTGGCTCCAGAGCACCTCCTGCTCTGGAGGAGCAGCGTAGAGCATGTAGAGTCTGACTGTGTCCAGGCCATAGGTCTGAACCACAGACTCTGGGTCCTCCCCGTTATGTTTGGATTTACTCATCTTCTCCCACGACACCTCCACGGGCTCTCCCCCCCAGGACTGAGGCTGGACTCCTGCAGGGGGGAGGGGGGGAGGAGAGGAGAGAGAGGAGAGAGAGGAGAGAGAGGAGAGGAGAGAGAGAGGAGAGAGAGGAGAGAGAGGAGAAAGAGAGAGAAGAGAGAGGAGAAAGAGAGAGGAGAAAGGAGAGAGAGGAAAGAGAGACACACAGACAAATTAGCAGCTAAGGTGGCTTGCACAGTCTCGGTACTGGGTCCGGTCCTGGGTCCGGTCCCGAGTCCGGTCCTGGGTCCAGTCCTGGTCTTGAACCTGAGAAGTCGACCTCTTCTTTCTTCAGGTAGTGTCCGGTTGAGACCAGTCTGAACGTCTGACCTTTGACCAGGCCCTGGACCAGCAGCTTCCTAAAGGGCTCCCTGTAGATACAGACAGTTAGGGACCAGGGGGAGACCAGAGGGAGACCAGGGGGAGACCAGAGAGAGACCAGAGAGAGAGAGACCAGAGAGAGAGAGACCAGAGAAAGACCAGAGATCACCTGTGAGAGACCAGTCCCAGGTCTCTGCAGAAGTGACTGATGAAGCGAGCGTAGTACAGGTGCATCACAGCGTGTTCTTTTCCCCCGATGTAAACATCCACAGGCAACCAGCGATCCACCAGGGGGCGCTCAAAGGGCCTACACACACACACACACACACACACACACACACACACACAGGGAGAGAGACACACACACACTCACACACACACACACACACACACACACACAGAGAGAGAGAGACACACACACACATACACACACACATATACTTTTAAAGAGTTTTCACAAGAAGAAGACGTGATAGAGTCGACCATTATCCCAGTTCCTAAGAAATCTCCTGTGACATGCCTTAATGACTATCGCCCTGTGGCCCTCACTTCTGTCCTAATGAAGACTTTCGAGCGGCTTGTGTTGGACTTCATTAAGAGCCAGATCCCTGTGAGTGTTGACCCGCTCCAGTTTGCTTACAGACAGAATAGGAGTGTGGAGGATGCCATCTCCTTTGCTCTGAACTCTGTCTACAGTCACTTGGACAATAGGAAATCTGTTGCAAGAATGCTGTTCATTGATTATAGCTCTGCTTTTAATTGTCTTGTCCCAGGTAAACTGATTGAAAAGCTCATGTCTCTGGGTTTAAGTGTTGCCATGTGTAAATGGATCTATAGCTTTTTAACTGACAGATCTCAGAGAGTGAAAATCAATGACTGTTTTTCTGATGTTGTTTCTGTGAGCACTGGTTCTCCTCGGGGATGTATTTTGAGTCCTTTACTTTTTACACTGTACACTCATGATTGTGTGTCTTCCTCAGACTCTAACCTGATCATCAAATATGCTGATGACACCACCATCATCGGTCTCATCAGTAATAACGATGAATCCTCTTATAGAGCCGAGATCCAAAACGTGGTTCAGTGGAGTAAGGCTAACAACCTCCAGCTGAACGCATCCAAAACATGCGAACTGGTCTTTGATTTCAGTCGCAATAGTTCTCATTTGCCTGTCGCAATCGATAACTCCCAAGTGCAGATTGTAGAGGAGTGTAAGTTTCTGGGTCTAACTCTGTCTAATGACCTGAAATGGGTTAAAAACACTGACCGAGTCGTAAAGAAAGCTCGTCAGCGTCTCTACTTCCTGCGGAAACTTAGAGAATTTACCACTAACTCTAAGATTCTGCTGAACTTTTATCGCTGCACCATTGAGAGTTTGCTTGTTGGTTCTGTGTCTGTGTGGTTCGGTAACATCACAGATAAAGAAAAGAGAGCTTTAAACAAGGTGCTCCGCTCTGCAAAGAGGACCGTGGGCTGTGAGCTTCCTGTTCTGGAGGTTCTTTATCAATCCAGACTTTTTAACAGTGCCCTGAGAATTATCAGAGACTCTTCTGGCCACCCAGGAAAAGCCTTGTTCCAGCTTCTTCCCTCTGGCAGAAGATACTGTTCTCTGAGATGCAGGACATCTCGTCATGCTAACAGTTTTTTTCCACGAGCTGTTAACAGTTTGAATAGAGCACTTTAATGTTTTGCACTCGTATAGATCTGTTTTAAGTTGGTCAACTTCACGGTGACATTTGTTGTGACATTTGTTTACTGTTTTTAAAATTTGTTTTATTTTTGTCTTTTAATGTTGTTTTGTGTCTGTACTTGTCCTGTGCACACGGGGAACTTTTACAAATGTATTCCAATGTGGTGTATACATACTGCAAATGGCGAAATAAATGAATCTGAATCTGATCTAGAGTTCAGTGTCGCAGATATAATTATGTGAATGATTAAATATTCTGTGTTGAG